AATCATTATGACACTGCTATCAACATTGAAACTGTATGTAAGTTATTTATGGAAAAGCACCCCAGAAGAATGGAGCGTGCTAACATGTTATTTCAGTAGTGCATACATGTACGTATATGATAGCCAATGACTGAAATAGCTAATATATACTATTGTTGGCCACAGTTGTTTAAATTAGTAACTACTTTACATGTAGATAGTACAGTACTTTACTATAATAAAACATACATATTTATGTTAATTTAAGTCTAGCTCCCCATGTAGTGTTACAACAGAATGTTGGATAATTTGTTGACTTTTCATTTAATGTTTGTGGATTTTATATGAACAACCATATAATTGTTTAAGCTATATTTCATGCAAAATTGCTTCCAGATTTAATCTCATAACATATATCTTTTTGTACAAATTTTCTGGGGGAATGCCCCTATATCCCCGTAGCATTAGCATGCTGATTGTGCTTAGCACAATTATGTGATGGCTTTTGTTTTCACAAATTAGAACTCCCCCCCCTCTAGCATTCTGCGTACAGAAATACTGTATATATAAAAATCATGGAACTATTTAAAATACAAAAAAAAACATTTGAATAAAAACACAATATCATGTTTTAATAAATAAATAAAAACAGCACACTTTAAAATAGCCTCTAAGATTAAGAATCTATTTTAGGAATCGTTAACAATTTCACTATTCACTTCTGTAATGTGATCTACTTTGGTTATAGTGTGTTTGTCTTTTACAAGCCGGCGAAGAGTGATTACAGTTATATTTGTCATAAGACATCAGTATTAGGCCCATTACATGTTTGTTGTATTATAGCCGGCCTGGAGCATTGGATTGAGCGAAACGCGTCGTCGGTAAGGGATGTGACAAATATAGTGTGATTGGAAAATTAATTATTACACACACTTCTAATTTTCGAAAAACCCTAAGGGACTAGATTAACAATGTAATGTTTAAAAATGTAATAGGCCTAATACTAATGTCTTATGACATATATAGTTTTTGTTTGTTTATTTGTAATTAAATACAAAGCGACACAATGGGCTATCTGTGCTCTGCCCACCACGGGTATCGAAACCCGGATTCTAGCGTTGTAAGTCTGCAGACATGCCGTTGTGCTACTGGGGGGGGGGGCGATATATATATATATATATATAAAGAGAGAGAGTGAGATTAACTTATTATATGTTTCTTCTGGAAAAAGTAATACAATGCCCTAGTTGATAAAGAAGTTGCCCGTTACATTACATTATTACATTTATTTCCGAAACAACTGTTGCGACTAATCCTAAATTGTTTTTAATTATACATCCGAAAATTAATTTAATAAATATTTCCCAATCTGATTGCACAGTACCCACGCGTATGAACAAACTTTAAAAAAAATGAAATTATGACCTAAGAGCCAATAAAGTTTATGTGAAAGTCATTTTGTTAGATTCTTTCTGAAATTCATATTTACAGTACTTAAAGATGGATTATATTTGACCCATCGTTTGCTGTTCTTATTTACATAGAATTTAGGAACTACAATATATATTTTAGTCTTAAAAAAGAAAAGAACGCTAATGTAGGCGTACATGTGAAATAACGTAATGAGACGAACTCGTCTCTTTTCCAGAGAGTAATTTTAATGTTAATATTATTAACTTTATTTAGCACATGGAGTTTATTTTGAGATATTTCTATTAAAGTAAATAAAATAACGAGATATATCTCCAGAATGTATCGTTATTAGTTCAATATTCGTTAGGAGCCATCTTACAAGTTCATTAATCAGGTGGGGGAGGGGGAAATAAATAAATGAATTTATAGAATATTGATAACGATAGTCCAAATGAAGCTGTGATTAGCGAAATATTGAACTAATGATACAATCTGGAGATATAGGTCATTATTTTATTTACCTTATTACTTCAATTAAAAATCTTGAGCATTATAATGCCTTCTTATTTCCAAAAATGACACAGTTACAGTAACCAGTTTCTTCACTAGGGTAACTCTACGTCATCAACTCTCGTTATGTCAAATGTCTGTAGGCGTTCATTTTTCACTTTCGAAACTGTACCGGTTTTGAATCAGGTGTGTTTATTTTGCACATGATAGTAACACGCCGTAATAAAGTGTAAAATGTAGATACCGTATGAAATTTGTTATATTGTAGATCGGATTTATAAAACATTAAATGCGTAGCGCAGTTATATGCATGCTAAAGCTGTATGAATACGAATCAAACTCTTAAGTTTACCGCCTACTTTTGTAAACCCATGTAAATCACCGAAGGCCAGTATGTATGTATAAAATAAACACGTACTATTCTGTAGGCTAAATACTTTTTCTTTAATTATCAGCTTTCGGCCTTATTACGAGCACCATCATTAATTTACCTACTTTACGAGTTAAAAACAAACAAATCGGCATTTAGTTAAAGCTACGGCATTTTATTTGTGTAAAATTCTAACAGCAAACAAAAAATAATAATGCTCTCAGTGTTACTGTTGAGTTACTGTTAATTTAAAATAGCAAAACGAAACTAATTTTACTATGTGACGTGCAGTTACGTCCAGCAACATAAATTACACTAGATTGTGTTTATTAAATTACAGTAAAATACGGAGTATATTATCAACAAAACTACCATATTTAAATACGATGTATAAAGCTGTTCCATCTATCTTGATTAGAAAGACGAAATATCGAACTAATGATACGATCTGGAGATGTAGGTCATTACTTTATTTACCTTATTACTTCAAGTCAAAAATCTTAAGCATTATAATACCTTCTTATTTCCAAAAAATTAAAAATATGGGTGGATGTAACGAAATAAAGATATTAAATGCGGCTCTGTTTTAATTATTTGGGCAGTAAACGTAATTAAACCTTAACGTACGGGTTTTCAATATAACACATATGTACGATATTTGGTGTTATTAACAACGAATACAATGACACAGATACCTTTCCAAGACACAAAGTATACATGCATATTCAACTTTCTAAATATTGAATTGGGTACTCACTCTTTTTTCTTGTTCAATTTTATATATTCTTTACTTGAAATGCTCTACTTTCACCTAGTAATCCACACACTGACCTGTTTTTACTTATGTGAAATCCCTGCTATTTGAGTAATTATATTAGAGAAAAATAACCCAGGATTATAGACAATCCTTCCTTATAATACTGTAACCTGGAACTGAATGTTTTGAAATACCCTCTGTAAAACTAGCTCATTGCAAATTGTTGTGTAAAACCAGTTAGTTAAAATATCAAATGTCTTCCCTATTCTCTTACGCCCACACCTACAAAGTAAAAACAGGAATATATGCATGTAATTCTTTCTATTTATCATCCAGAACTTCCTCATACTACACCGTACAAGACTGTGATGCAATAAAACAAAGTTCATGGTACTAAGATCCTTATCAAATTAATTCCATACATTTTTTATCTGCTGTGGGAAAACCTCTATCATGTCCTTTGCTGTGGCATGCTCCATAAGTTCTGAAGTGAGGTAGCATGTAACTACAAAATTATTATCACACATTCTTAGGTGCATCTACATATGTTTAGTTTGTGTTTTGGTGTTTAAGCTTCCATTAAAAGTAGAACATATCCTGAGTCCAGTCAGCTTTTTTAATCTCTCAACTAGAAGTGAACTAAAATGTGGTGCAACACTGAAGACAGTCAAGTAAGCTGATTTTTTTCTCCACATTGGAATTTGTTAGCTATTTTACTATCTGGAAATATCTTTTTGAAGAAGTCACTTGAAATAAAAAAAATATTAATTTTTGTAGAACCAGAAAAAATATGCAACGTTGTTTATTTACTGCATAAAGTTGAAGTTATGATCACAAGTGAGGCAGATCTTGTGACTGTATTTAAAATAAACACCTCTAGAAGAAACAAAAGAAGTAATCTAAATGTTGATATATACTATAACTTTAAAATATGTAACTTTAAAATATGCCTTACTGGTAAGCATTTTGACTTTAATCAAATTGTTCATATGAAATACCATATATGTGCATTCCAAACAGTTTGAGATATTCAAACTTTTTTAATTTTGAGGTCATCAGACAATATCCAAATTTCCACAGCTTTACACTATGTCATCCTTTTGTTTGACTGTAGTTCCC